TGTCTTTCGTTGATGATCTTTTGTTTCAATTCCTCAACTTCCATATTTCGTGCTGTTATTAATATTAGCAAATTTTCAATAATCGGTAAATGATTGGTGAACTTACAGGGAAAAACGATGTTAAAAGCGTTTCTGAGATCAGCGTCCATCCTAATCTTGTTTTCAAACTTTTCCATAAGTTCTCTAAGCTGAGGTGGAATGGAGCTCCTATCTAAACTTTGTGGCATGGGCTTCTGGGCAGTGGTATCGGAGCTTGTTGGCCTAGGTGGTAGAAAAAGTCTTGTACCTTGCTCTATAGCTTGTTGTGGAGCTTGAGTTGAGTCTCGTGAGCCAGATGTAGCTTGCTGATTGAACGAACGTCGAAATGGCGTAAAACCAAGGTTTTGTGGAGGAAATGCAGTAAATGGCTTTCTCTGAGTATGCGGTTGATTTGGGGGAACTTGATGACCATAGCTATCCGATGCAACTCGCATTGATGATAGTTGCGGGCTTCGTGCGTAGGTGGGTCCTAATGGAACGCCAGTAACTCCACAAGGTCGCTGCTGAACTATTTGGGGAGATTCTGGAATAGAGAGTATATGAGTTGCCGAAGGGTTTTGAACATTTTCTTGTCCAGTGACACTTGTGATTGTGATTGGTTGCGAAACGTGACTGTGATTGCTAGCACAGTAAGCCGAATTGGTGGCCTGTACCGTTTGAATATCGGTGGCCTGGCCATTGGGAGATGTGGGGCCGTCCTTGTCCGAGGAAATTTGCAATCCAGATGAAGATCCTTGCGAGAGAAGTGATTCTTGTCCAATTGCTTGCCGACATACTTCACTTGTAGCCTTAGGGGCATTTAATGGTGACGCTGATTCTGTCGTCTTTCGGATGGGCATGGCCTGTTGAGAAAAAGCGGACAGGGACTCGGTGATTGGACTGGCAACTTCTTGAGTAGCTGAATCAAAACATGAAGACTTAGGAGTTGAGTCTGAATTGAATTTTCTCCTCTTGGGCACTGGTGGTTCGACATAATCGTCGGGACATTTTGGGCCGCTATTGTAGAGATCATCGATATTTCCAGTTTCGTTCCAAAGAGAATACTCGTCCAATGAGTTATCCTGGAGGTTACTCTCTTCCATAGAGAAGGAGCCCCATAACGAATAATAATCTTGGAGGCCAAGGGGGTTCTGGTCATTGTACTGCTCAAAGGAAGGAGGTGTAAGTCCAATGAGGTTGTTTTGAGAGGGAACATGAGAATTTTCAGGAGCATAATTACCTCCGATTCTACCAAAGCTATTCTGAACCACATCCATTTCAGATGTGTTCTCCATCTTGAGATATCTTGAGGTCTCTTCGATGTAATCCTTCTAATAATTGCCTTGAGTCACAACAATATATTCCACCACAAAATGACGATCGCTTGAACAGAAATGCTTCTGACACTGTGCCTCTGAACGATGATCGCAAGCAATCTCAATGAACAGATTTTGAAGACAAAACTTTGTCGATAACGGCTCGTGACAAGAGCTCGTGTTGAATCCAAGGACCCAGTTGCTTAGTTTGTACAAATGTATGTTTGGCTTGGTAGCCTAGAGATTTCAACCTCACAACTTCAAAGTTTACTCAGCTATACTTCTTCTTAAGGCAGGCAAAGGGCATTTGATGAATTCCAGCTTTGTAAAGTTTGAAGTTGTATAATCAGGAAAGCTTTTGGGAGATTATTTGTGGGAAATATCTTTCATATATGAATGTATGAAAGTGAACATGATTGCTAGGTGAGAAGCTGACTTTCAACTTCAAAAAGTTCTGGTGAAAACATCACGTGAGACTGGCTTTTAATTAGCTCGAGCTTTTTTTTACTTGGTGACTTTTTTGCATGTAAGCTGGTAAGCTCAGGACAAGCTCAGACAAGGCTATTACAGCTGCAAGGCTAATAGGTAATCACAAAATGGTATTTTCTCGGAATAATTAGTTCCGATCAACTTCATGTAGAAGGCGGTCAATTAGTATCCAGCAGAAGGAGCTCCTAACCGTCACTGTCAATATCATGGTTTAATACCTTTCGAACTTTATATATATATTTCTCTACAACCCACTCTACCGGGAAGGTGCAATTGCCGATTCATAACCACCATTCACACTTCTTGCCTTTCTTGGTCATTTTCTGTCATTTCATTCAAGTTTTATTGGGAAGGAATAGACAATGTCCGTTATTCTGTGTACTGGTAAGTAACCTTAACGTTTTTTTCCCTCAACAGCCTACTACAATCTTCAGATGAATTGGTTTCTTTACCATCACTGGGCGTGAAGTTTATTTTTCACTTCATTCTTTGCGTCGTCTCTTCTTTCTTTCATGGTCATGATCCATTGCAGACCTCAAATGGCATATCAACCCGTTCTCGTTCACGGACAAGGAGACCCTGTTAACATTCTTTGCGTTCTTGTTACAGCTGGCTACGACCACACAATCAGGTACGAATTACTCCTAGTTTTATGTGTGATTTACAACGACATGGGTCATTGATGTTATACAATTCTTAGGTTTTGGGAGGCCCTCTCTGGTATCTGTTCTCGAACAATTCAACACCCCGATTCTCAAGTCAATCGATTATGTATATCCCCAGATAAGCGTTTCTTAGCTGCGGCTGGCCACCATACCGTCAAGCTTTATGATATCAAGTCAACCAATCCAAATCCGCTTCTCACATTCGAGGGACATACAGGAAATATTACAGGCGTCGCATTCCATTGCGAAGGAAAATGGATGGTTACAAGCTCTGAGGATGGCACAGTTAAGATCTGGGAGACTCGGAGTGGTACCGTCCAAAGAAGTTATAGTCATGGCTGCCCAGTTAATGATGTAGTAATTCATCCCAACCAAGGAGAAATCATTAGTTGTGATCGCGGGGGTAGTGTTCGTATTTGGGATCTTGCAGAAAATAACTGTTCCCATCAACTCATTCCAGAGGAAGATGTACCTGTTTCCAGCGTCACTGTCGCAACTGATGGATCAACCTTGTGTGCTGGTACTAACTCGGTAAGAGCATGCGCGAGAGATGCATCAGACTTGTATTAACTCCTTTCAGGGCAGTGTCTACGTTTGGCAGCTCCTTCAATTCCGCGAAAAAACTCAGCTTATGCCGATTACTCACTTCAAAGCTCACAACCAGTACATCACTAGAGTTCTTCTCTCTCCAGATGTTAAGAAACTCGCAACATGTAGCGCCGACCATACGGCCAAGATTTGGGAGGTAGACTTTACTGCTCTAGCTCCTAATCCAAACCAGCCTCAAACAGAAGCAAGAGCATTCAATCTTGAATCAACATTGACAGGTCATCAAAGATGGGTCTGGGATTGCGCTTTTAGTGCCGATTCGGCTTATCTTGTTACTGCCTGTTCAGATCACTATGCTCGTCTTTGGGAGCTGCATAGTCAGTCAGTAATCAGACAATACAATGGTCATCATCGCGGTACATCTACATTACTTCAAACATTCCCCATAGTGCCCCTTCTGACCTGATATCTACTATAGGACTCGTTTGCGTTGCTTTGAATGATTATTCCGAAGCTCGTTGAAACTTATATCCGCTCGCGTGCATTGATTTAGGCGTTCCACTTTCAACCGGTTGCGGAGTTATAGGATTATACACGTTGCATATCCTGGAAGATTTTATTGGGTCGTCTCTACTGACTATTTAGTCTATTCACCTGGTGGCATTTATATGCATGGCTTTGGCGTATGTAGGTATGGGCTAGGTTAGCATGGCGTTGTGACACAATAGTGGTGATTCACATGGCGTTGTACATATCATGGACGGATGGCTAACGTTCAATCATAAGTCAGCAAGCGATGGCGATTTTATCAAATCTTATTAATATTTGCAAAGCGAGCATTGTTCCTTCTCTCAGTGATCACAACCTAGTTTATCATCAATCACCAAGATTCTCCAAAGCAATCTTCGCAAGCTCCAACACGTCATGTCCCAGTCCCTCGTTTATCAACTCCGCAGTTCTCCTCCCCTCATTTATCTTGACCCGCTCATGACACCCACCACCCTTCCGTATCTTCGCCCTCTCAATCGACGTAGTTTTCTTCATTCATACCATAATTTCATACTTATAACAACTATATATACAGCTACTTTCATTACATTTGGACGCCAATTCGCTGGTAATGATTTGTACATGATATTCGCTAAATCGTTTGAAAACAACGAGACCGACCTCAAGAGGTGAACTGAACTTTAGTATTTGATTTTTCCCTTGGGTAATGTCGAAATAGAGAGGACGACTTCTCCGTGAGCATGGAATTGTCAAATATCAGATGCTGTTCTTATACAAATGGAGTTGGCGGAGAGGAAAGTTGGGAAGCGAAGAAGAGAGGGAGAAGAATTTTGACAAGCGGGATGTGGCTGAGTTGATTGGCTCGAAATGGATTTTAAAGCTACTGTCTGTGAAGCCAAGAGATCTTTAAAAGTTTATCTTAGGTTTATGGCGGATAATATCAAGAAGGGGAGCTAGAGGGAGGGAAGAAGGAGGTTTGTGGAGGCGAGATTGTGGGGGTGGATATCAAATGTGAAGTAATATGACTGTGAGTTGGCGAGCTATATGTGTACATCATGACAAGATGTAGCTACTATTTTGTCTATACTTCATCACTCAGGACGTTATATATCTTAAATCGAGCCAAGTCAACATATAATAGTGAAAAGTTTCCAATCATACCGAAAGTTTGATAGAATATATACGGCATCTGCTTCGTGTATGAAGAGACATTGAATATCAGACCAGAAATATGTAGATAGTAGTATCAACCGAAGCCAAGATCGACAGATGACTATAGACTTGACCAGACGTGAATCAACATAATCATCTCATTGGAATCAGGATTCACTCGTATTTAACATGTTTTGACCAATCATTTTTTAATGCAAAGTTTTGTTGCATGTCTTCAAGAATTAAGTTTTGATACTGACTATTCTCTCGTATCCAAAGTTCAGACTATGAGCAATCAATGGAAGAGATCAAGGTGCGGACGTTGACACCCCTAGCTGATATCACGTGAAAGTCACGCTTTAACGCGAAAGGCCGAAAAATCAATACTGCGAAGTAATAAATGCTATTTCTAAGCTAGGAGCAGAACGAAAATACCATCAAAAATTTTCTGATCAATCAATCAATTCTAAGCAAAGTAATGTCGTAGTAGGAGAAATATTCTGTGTAGATCCTGTTGCCTTCAACTTCACGATTTCTGTCACCCTCCAACCACAACTGCCATTAAATTGCAAAATGGCGTCACAAAATAATGCCTCACATGCAGAAGTATGGGATGATTCCACGCTTGTAGACTCGTGGAATGAAGCTCTACAAGAATATGAGGTAAAGAATCTAAACGCGATTATGTGGACTTTGCTAATATCAAAATAGAAGTATCACAGTATCTATGCCCGAGGGGATAACGTTGAGGATGTGTTGAACGCGTTCGAGAACCAAAGTAATGGATTGCAAGTTCGTCTTCTCCTGACCGTAATCACATTGCTAACCTTTCGTAGGGAAGGGGGGATGAATGAGGATAATGGAATAGTTGTTGAAGAACCGCTGGAAGAAAATGTTGACATGCAAAGCGAGTTTGAGCAAATCGACGACCACACCCAGACAGCAAACGAACCAAAGGTACGCATTGAAAATGGTCTACCAATATACACCTTGACTGATTCTTATGCATCTTTAGGTTGGTGACAAATCCGCATCAAAAGCGACGAAATCTGGTTCTTCATCTTCAAAAGCTGCAATACTACCACCACAGTTAATTGGTCAAGGTAAGACGTGCAAGCGTTTTTATGCTATACGTGAGATCCAAGCTGACGTGGAATTCTCTCACAGTTCACGATGAAAATCTTAAGAATTTATTGATGTCCTGGTACTATGCCGGCTACTATACTGGATTGTATGAAGGCCAACAGCAAAAGTAAGAACCAAGTCAGGGTACATAATGAATATAAGGCATAGGACGAATCCTTTTTGAGGGAACTATTATCACTACTGCGACTATCTGTGACACGGATAGTTTGAACCATCTGATCTTATTTAAGCCGGATCATGAAGACATTGGGATGAAGTCCGAGCTGTGCCATGTTGTGCCGTTGTGGGAGGTATCATATCCATCAAAAACATATGAGGGATGATCTCATGTTAGCTTGTACTTTATGGAAGACCCAATGTTACAGCAGGTATAGGAGACATGTATTATATGGTTTCATGATTGATAACGGGTACCTTACATCATTGCGCCTTGACCTAAGTTTCTTTACTACCCTCACGATTACATCCCCAAAGGAGTTCATGATTATGCTTATGATTAGATGTGGAACTAGGGGACTTCATGAGCCCTTGTTACTGGCTTAAGGATATTGTCGATAATGGGTACTTCGAATTGACAATTTCTGTGGGAATGATTGCCACGTCCATTTTATATAGAGTTATACGGAAGACAGACATTACTAAACGTGGGCATACGTTGAAACGGTCACTTTCATCTTACCTCCCAGCATATCCAACCTCAAAAAACTTCAGTAACGAGAATTCCATCAATTCATAATCTTTTCCTGCTCTTCCATCAATTATCAGATAAAATTTCTCCTTCTTTTCATCTCCAAATCTAACGTTCGAGACATTAGCCCTTTCAAGGATCTCAACATTAAAGTTTACTTATATCCAGTCTCCCGTCGTCCCATTATGATAGTTGAGACGAATCTGGCACGCGCCACAGGAGGTGCCAAAACAGTAACTGTTAGGGCTGGACCGGGGTAAAAAGTTCTTATGGGGCAAAGATTGGAGTTCGATATAGGCTATACTATAGCCTGTGCATCCAATCTTCAGTGACCTTTGGCGTTAAAATACAGGGATAAAAGATCTCTGATTATCTTGTGTCTGGGCTTGGCACGACGACAAGGGTTTTCATCACATCTTCATCCAAACCTCGTTTCTAAAACGTTGGATCTTTGGCTTGCAACCTTGAATTATGTCTTTTACTAGTGCTTTTCTCTCTATTATGGCAGTTCAATTGAATTAGATCCGGACGAGTAGGTCTCCGAGTGGTACGATAAATCCTGGAGGCTTTTCTCCTCCGTTCATTGAGTCGTTTCGACCAAGGATATTCGAAGCAAGTGCTTTTCATTTTGTCTTCAAGTCCTGGTATTGCAATTCTTATGGTTGAATTTATACCAAGACTTTCCCCAAGACCTGATGCATTGTTTTTCGACATTCTATCATTCATAAACTTGTGAAAACTTTCATTCTCCTTCTCTACTTTGTCTATTAATTACTATCACGAGCAGGCCCTCGACAACTGGCTACTTTACTACTTAAGTCAACTCACAATCATTCCACAAGCCAAGACAACTTTGATAGTTTAATTCTTCTCCGCAGCGCGGCTTACATATCATTCCTTCATATTCATCTTATATCATACGGCATTCAGTCCTTATATCCTAATATATTCATCATGAGATCCTCAGTTATCGCGGCATTGTGTGCAGCACAGCTGGTATTGGCCAGTAATCTTCAACATGACTTGGCTGGGCGGGGAATAATTACGCCGAAACTCGCTGAGAGATCATCAGAGCTCGTTGTCAACAAGAAAGAGATCACTATTGTACAAGCTAAGAGTGAGGACATCATTATTATCTGGACCAACGATGGCAATGGGGCTGCAACTAAAACAGTGACCGAGACGAAAACTGTTGCTCAAGTAGCTGGTGCGACAGCAGCAGCAGCACAGGCAACCCATACCGTTGTAGTGGGAGGCCCCGCTGGAAAGGTCTATACACCTGAGACGGTCAACGCTGCTATAGGGGATATGATCGTTTTCAATTTCGAAATGGCAAATCACACTCTCACACAGTCAGCTTTCACAACACCTTGTGAAAAGCTGGCTACCGGTGGAATGGATACTGGTTTCGTACCAAATATTAATAATACCATCAGTCCACCCCCGGCAATGGCTATGCAAGTCATGGTTGATACTCCTCAATGTTAGTGTACTCCAGATGTCATTAAATTACGAACAATACTAATACAAATGCAGGGTTCTACTGTCGTCAAGCTGGTCACTGTGGTTCAGGAATGGTTTTCAGTATCAATCCCACTGCCGACAAAACTCAAGCACAGTTCAAAGCAATGGCTGTTGCACAAAATGGTACTGGAACCCAGAGTGCCATCCAAGGAGGGTCCTCTGCTGGCGGAGCCAGTAATGGAACTTCTTCAAGTGCTGTTGCTTCAGCTGCCGCTGCAGTTTCTACTGCGACAGTTGCCTCTGGGACTGGGACAGTTGGTGCTGATGGAACATGCTCATGTAGCTGTCTTTGTGGACAAGCTGCGTTCCCGAATGCTGCCGTACAGGGAGTTGGAATGTTTGGTGGAGTCTCTGGTTAGTATTTTCTTGTCTGATTATTCATATTCCCCGCTTGAATCTAATATTTATACAGGTGCTATGTCCATGTCTTTACTAGAAAAATAAGTGAATGAATGGGAGATGAAAGCGTCACCTCTTCTTTTTCTTTTTCTTCTTGGTACAGGTTGACCACACACACAACGTTAGAATGGGGAAAACATGAGTTTTCTGTTTACGATATGATGGAAATAGCAGTCGCCCATAAGAGGCTTGACGCTTGGGATAGGAATGTGGGAGAACTTCATGTATATGACTGGATCGTATGTTGGATTGGAGTTTTTAGACGTGTGTAAGATGAAGGAAGGATGGATTGCCCAGAGATGTCTTAATAATATTTCTCTTTTTATAATGTTCTACTACAAATCAATGAATAACACACATTTTATCACCAGCATTATCTACATCATCAATAGACATAAGATGTTTTTACTGAGCTCTCTGACCATCATTTCATCAACAGAAAAGGGTTCATATCAAATTTCAAATTTCACGTGCACATCTTCAGTCTCAAATCACCCCCCCACTCACTTATTAAACTCTAAGGTTAACTCAAATTTTCAAATCTGGGTCCTTTTGAGGTTGATGTTCATGCGAGGTACTTCATTCTACGATTTCTATGTATCTTATCATCTTGTTCTCAAGTACGTATAGCACAATAGGTATTCAAAACAGAGCAATCAAAACCACCCATTACATCAAAAAACCATCAATCCAAAATATCCCCCTCCATTAGTTCCACCATCACAGCCTATAAATACAAGCCAACCTCGGGTACCTGACACTAAAGCACCTAAAGCCCAACTCTAAAATTAGCGTTGCATGTCCCCCAAATTCCAATCCTTCCCCGCCAAGCAGGGCCAAGCCCCACTAAACCCCATTCAGCAGATTCATATCAGAACAGGAGGAATCTCTGGCGACCTTCATTTCTTTTACGAATTGGAGCTTTGAAACATTTACAACTTTCCTTTCCACATATCGTACATAGATATCTTTCCTAAGAAAGAAACTGATTCTTTAGATTTTCTTTGCGTATTGTCGCTGTCCTCTCTTTTATTTATCGATCTATTCATCGTGAAGGTTACATACACATTCTTTTAGTTATTGAATTCTCTCGTTATAAATCTACCGTCCCAATTACAATTACATTTTCAAACGTCAAATCAATACAATACAATACTTGCGAAAGATTCCAAAACCCAACCTCATCTCCATTCCATACCAATTTAACCACCCCCTCCCTCAACGCCAACCGCAAAAATGCAAACTCCAACTCTCCTCACCATCTCTCTCCTCTTCCTCTCCAACGCGCTCTCCGTAACCGCCACTCCTCCCGCATGTCTCCTCGCAGCCATCAACGTTCAATCCGATCCCTCCAATCTCAAGGCTCTTTGCGGAACATTGGAACATGCTGTTGCGGGCAACATCACGGATAAATGTTCGGGGGATAATTACAAGGAGGCCGTGAGCTCTTACCAAGCCACATGTTTTGAGGGCGCGGGAGTTAACATTAGTAAGTCTTCTATTATTCGATTTTGGGAGTTATGTTATACAAGGAAGGGAAGGACGGGAGAGATTAGCGAACAGCAAGTTCCGTAGGCCCAGCTTGGGGTTCTTGTCAATAGCATGAGATGAGAAGCGATATAATCAAGAGAGAAATAACAAGTGCAACACACTAACCAAACCCAACAGCCATCACATCCTCCTCCGCCTCCGCCACAGGCACAAACACAGCATCCGTCTCTGGCTCTAGCTCCGGCTCCACAAGCGCAACAGCAACCGGAAGCGGAGCAAAAGCTACCGGAACCGCTTCCGCAACTGGATCGAGTGGATCGAGCGCTAGCGCAACAGGAAGCACGACTGGTGCAAGCGCAGCTACGGCGACGGGTGGCGCGGGAGTTTTGGTTGTTCCGGGATTCTTGGGAGTTGTGGGATTCGTTGGCGCGGTTTTGTTGTAGGGAGCAGAGAAGTTTGATTGTATTGGGGGGGGCTAAAGTCGACGTGGAGGGGAAATCGTAGCCAGGTGCTAGATGGGGTAGAAGAGGATGGTTTAGAGGAGGTGATGCGGTTTGAGAGGTGGGAGAAGTGAATTTGTGCATATTTCAGAGATACCAGGATAGTTTCTTTACGATTGTAGTTAGTGGAGCGAAGTTTGAGATGGCATAGATAGTTCATTAAATCGAAAATGTTCAATTGTGTTTTGTTTTGTTTTGTTGTTTTGATTCATATATCTCCTTTCTGGGTATCATGTGTCATATCATATCATATCATATTTTCACCATTACAGAAATCTAAAAAGCTGACACACTTTCCACATTCCACCCCCCCTCGAGAGACTCCTCCATTTCAATATCGTTTCATCATCTCCTAAAGATTTTTTCCTATTTCTATCCTATTTCCTTCTGGATTGAAGAGTAAGTAAGCATAATGGGAGTTATAAAGAGTTGATATACATGTCTATGTATGTATATGAACACACATCTGCTCTCAAATTTCCAAGTCCCGAGAATTAGAGTTCTTCATGTTGTGAGTGGAGTATTGGGTACTGACTGAGTACTTTGTACAGGGTATAGGGTATAGGGTATAGGGTATAGGGTATCGATATTGACATCGAGTTTGAAATTTGTTGTGTGTGGTTTGTGGGTGTTTATGGGTATGAGTAAATATGGGTAAGTATGGGTTAGATATGTTACTGTAATTGAACTCTGGAACTCTGGAACTTGGGACTCGAGGGATTTTGCTTATAGGCGAGGAGTTAGAGAGTCCAGAGAAGTTAGAGAAATTTGAGAGGGGCAGGAGGATAATTTGTTTGTTTGCTCGTTTATTTGCTTGGTTGCTTTCTTTGTTGGCTTTTTGTGTGGTCAGGAAAAGGGGAGAGGAGGTGTTTTCGCTTACAGTCTTTGTTGTGTTGTGTTGTATTTTTGTTTGGGTTGGGTTTGGTCGGATTGTTTCGTTTCGTATGTGTGTATATATATGTATGTATAAGGTTTATGTGAAGTGTATGTCTTCGAATCTGCATCTAACTAACTCAATACTGGGATATCTAAATACCTAAATACAGCTCCTGACTCTCTGACTCTATGCAAGACCAAGATGAAGGGTTGAGGAATATGGATATGGATATCGATATGTGTATTTGTATGTAGGCGCTGTAATTACACATCCATCTGATCATCATTCATCAACCATGTATGCATGATTCATTCATCATCTATTCCTCGCTCATCCATATCTTAGATCTAGAGGAGTGTGAGTATTACAGTAACTACATGTCCCTTTCTTTCTTTCTTGCTCTCTCAGCTCATGATGACCCTCAGTTTTTGTTGATGACAATTCGTTGATAACAGCTACCTGACATTCAATAAAATCACTACTCATTGGTATCTTAGATTGAGGAATCTCCTATTCGTTCCCTCTAGTTTTCGTCCTGGTTATCTTGTCCTATTCACATCTGTATTTGCATCTATGTCTGCATCTTGGTATCTGCCTAGAATCTTCATATTTGGGTTTGCAGCGTTGGATTGGAGTATAGAATACTTTTGTATGAATATTAACTCCTTCTCTTAAAGTTGGTTTATAGAGAGGGAGGTATAAGTCACTGTAAGGTATGTTGATATGATTTATTAACTTGACAACATAATCAGACAGGCAAGTAAAACATATCCAGCATGAGCATCCAGCACTAACATCTAGAAGTTTTAAATTTTCAATCAGCAGCTCGCGAAACGACATGAATGGTCTCATCAGATGCACTTATTACTACCAGGTAATTACATGAAGTATCGGCATCCAGTTACTCTGAGCTCACGCCAAATTCAAAACCGGCAACTAATAACCAGGTAACTTTAGCTAGCTAGCTCTAAAAGCCTTTAAACCATTCTCTGAAAATCTGGTAAATTTCATAACCAAACCTGAACGTCTAATCCTTTGCTGAGAGCTTTAACTTCGGCATAGGCTGGACTTTAGTGATACGGAGAGCAGCTTGCAAACGTGATAATGATATGAGCGTAGATGTAAAGGCAGTGGACGAAGAAAGAAGGATTGGTGAATAATGTTTCGGCATCAAAGAATTGCTATGGTATCGCAACTTGCAATATCTTCGCTTGAATTCGTATTTGTGATTGAGCTACTTATTGTGGAATTGTACCGCATGTAGGTAGCCATTAGAACTTTTAATTATGGCTCAAGACTGAGCTACATCCCCTCGCTCACATCGAGCATGAAACTTGACTCTATAGTCTTGATGCAGTAGCTTTAGCAAAGCTCATCATTCTCTCTTTACAGCCTCTCCTTTTCTCTTGAATATCAACTCAACCACCTGTAGCCTCTCTATAAAAGCTCAAACTCCTATTTGCCCCCGCCGTAACAAACGCCTCACTCTTCCCCTGCACTTTTGGCAACCATTTGACAGCCCAAAGCGCTTTATCCGTCTCACTATGCGTCGCCACGCAGTTTCTTCCCTCGACACTCCATACCTTGGCTTTGCCATCCCAAGCACCACTAACTAGATATTCGCCCGTGAAACTCCAGTCGATGCTGAAAATCCAGGCTGTGTGGCCTGTCATATTAGCGACTTGTTCGCCATGGGTAACGGAGTAGAGGGCAATGGTTGTGGAATCGCCAGCGGCAGCCAGATAGGTAGAGAGAGGAGAGAAGGAAATGGTGCGGATGGGTTGGATCAGTCCTAAACTCGTTAGTATGCTAGCTCTTGTCCCGTCCTATATCAATTGACATGTGGAACTCACCAGGTAAACTATGTACCATTCTTCCCGTATCATTATTGAAAACATAAACCCCTCCGTTCTCATGCCCACTGGCCGTAAATCTTCCATCCGCACTGATATCCACGCATAGTCCAAAGCTTCCCTTTGTCTCATACTCTCTTATCTTCTTGCCTACACTTTTCTTTCCCGCATTCTCTTCAGCTCCTTGTAATAAATCCCATACTCCAATCTTTCCATCAATAGTCGTTGCTGCAAGAAAGTTTCCATCAGCACTTAATGCTAGCGCCCAGATTTCACCGGGCTTGTTGCCATCGAGGATATGGCCATGATGAGACCATTCTTCTGATCCGTCTGCATTTGGAGAAGAGCTCCAAATGCTAACTGTACCATCGAAACCGGCGGATGCTGCAATAGTGCCAGATCGAGAGGTGCAGATGTGGTGACAGCCGAGTTTGTGGGCGGGGAGAGTTTGGGTTAGAGAAGGGGGCGTGGTGAGTGTGCTGTGGACTTTAAGAGAGGATGTGCCGGAGGCCGAGAGTATAGAGCTGGGGGTTACGGCGAGGGAAAAGATGTCTGTTTTATGGGCTGGGGTGGGTTAGCATGAAGGCTGTATTGGAGGTATAGCTATTGGTGCAAGCGGGGAATGGTGAGGTAGAGGGGCAGTTTGGAATATTTACCGTCATCGATCGTGTGCGTTGTAAGGTATTGTTTCGACTTTGAACGTTAGCGCATACATTTTCATATTCAATGGTTTACATACCATTGTCACCGGTTCATTTGAATGTTAGGGTATATGGGTTTTGGAAGAGGGGGTGTTTTTGGTGGATGTTGTGAATAAAGCTGAAGCTCTGGAAGCTTTGGCGGGGTTGAAGAAAATATCATGACCTCACAGGTAATTTCAGCAAACGCATTTTACATAACACGAAGATAAGATTTCAGATATTGATGATGCAGTAGGATATTCTTATTTTGATGTACAAGTTAAAACATTGTACCAGTTCTGAGGACATATACCTCACGGTTCAGGATCTCTTCTCCATGTCCCAAACGCTATGGCTGATGCCATACATGATATGATCATCTCCATTTCTGATTCTCACCAGTTCCTTCATCTCACATAACTTCTGATTCCCTCCAATCCCCTCCTACCCCTCATAATCACCTAATCAATTCTTCTGGAGCCAATAATCTGCTTGGGATTCTTCTCCTCATATATCTTTCTCGCGGCATCCTTAGCTGCCTTCTTTTCTGCCCGCTTAGTTTCCAACTGCTCTAACTCTACCTCTTTCTTAGTCTTTCCCTCTGCAGCTCTTGCTTTGCCTGCTTCTATCCTTACTTTCTGCTCAGCTATCTCATCTGCTCTGGCTTCTCTTGCAGCGGCGTTCGCTTCGTGTGCATTGGTCTTGAATAAGGTCTTAATTTCTAAATCGTTGTTAACCGCCATCCTCTGATATATCATATAGAAGACCTTTACCAGCAACACAATATGGGCATAATAAATGTGCTCTCTTAATGTGACCACATGCAGAGCATCTATTCAAGTTTGTAACATCTTGTAATCCTTTGCCTGCCATTTGCCTATGTCTCTTCTTCATATGTGAAGTCTTCTTCTTTGGTACGGCTTTCAATATTCCCTCCCATAATCCTTCGAGAAATCCGGGAATGTTAAGATGTATCGCAGATGGAATGGCGAGTACTGGAAGTAATGGATGGGACAATTGTCGCGAATATAAAGTTGTTGACCTCGTTGCGAAAGTTGCTGTTGCAGGTGCCAATCGTGGAAGAAATGACGAAAGTATCGACGTCGTAGTAGCATGAGCTGTCGCCATTTTGATTGAGATATCGAAGGAGAGTTAATAAAGTACGTATGGATATTCAACCTCACTGTCGATACTGATTCATCAAAATCTTGAATCTTTCACTTCTCGGCTCGCATGGTTAATTCACTAGTTTCCACTCACAGATAAGCTAGCGCATTTTAAGATTAGCTTAGATTTGCCCAATTACTTTCCCCTGAAGTGTACGCTATATTGCCAAAATAATCTGGAGACTGACCTCCTTCCCTAACTTTGTTCTTTATCAACGACTTTTGATTGCATATTACCTTCGAAGATAGATATCTTCGTTTTTGTTTCTATTCAATTCAAAGATAACACCCTCGTTTAGAAAGCCTCAAGATTTAATACACTCTTTCCAAGATGTCAACAATAAATGATAGACATGCTCCTCAACCTTCGGTATTCCCAAAAAGCCATGTTGGTTTCGATAGTATCACATCACAAATTGAGCGCAAGCTCTTGAAACGCGGTTTCCAGTTCAACGTCATTTGCGTCGGTGAGTTTACTTGGTATATTGTTGACAAGTGATTTGAGAGAGTTTTCTAATAGATTTATCTTGTAGGACAAACTGGTCTCGGAAAATCCACCCTCATCAACACCATTTTTGCCTCACATTTGATCGATTCCAAGGGAAGACTCACTCCAGATGAGCCAGTACGATCTACCACCGAAATTCAAACCGTTTCCCATATCATCGAGGAGAACGGCGTAAAGCTGCGACTCAATATTGTCGATACCCCAGGTTATGGAGATCAAGTCAACAATGATAGATGCTGGGATCCAATCGTCAAGTACATTAAAGATCAACACTCTGCATACCTCCGAAAGGAACTTACAGCTCAAAGAGAGAGATATATTCAAGATACCCGTATTCACTGTTGCTTGTTCTTCATTCAACCTTCTGGCCATGCCTTGAAGCCAATCGATATCGTGGTTCTGAAGAAGCTTTCAGATGTTGTCAATGTCGTACCAGTTATCGCCAAGTCGGATTCTTTGACTTTGGAGGAACGTGCTGCATTTAAGGAGCGTATAAAGGAGGAATTCGCTTTCCACAACTTGAAGATGTTCCCATATGAGAATGATGAGTTTGATGAGGAAGAGAAAGCGTTGAACGCACAAATTAAGGTATATTATATTGCATTGATATCTCAAGCAAGCATACTAACAATATCAGGACATCATTCCATTCGCCGTTGTTGGATCTGAGAAGGATATCATTGTTGGAGGCAAACCAGTTCGAGGACGTCAAAACAGATGGGGTGTTATCAATGTCGAAGACGAGAACCACTGCGAATTCGTCTACCTACGAAACTTCCTTACCCGAACCCATCTCCAAGACCTCATCGAAACTACATCTCAAATCCATTACGAAACATTCCGTGCTAAGCAATTGTTGGCACTCAAGGAGAGTAGTGCTGCAGGACATGCTGGCAGCAGACCAATCAGTCCATCTGCTGATAGAGAATTGAGCAGAAACTCCCAAAGAATGACCATGAACGGCTATTAGGGGAATTCGAGGGATATGATTGATGGCTAGTTGGTGGTGATGCTGGGATCTGGTGAGTTTGGATGATTGGTTGTGTTCATGATGGCGAGATGGTATTTGCCAAAAGCGACAATTTTTTTGACAGGAGATTAGAGGAGAGTTTAATGGACTGCTTTTGTGGAGCCGGGCTTTTCTAAACTGAATATTGCTACATTTCTCCTTTGCCTAATTAGCCCTTTTCTTTAATATCCAGAGGGTTCATTTCAATAGTAAATAATAAGATCTTCTTTTGATTCTTCGGGTTTATCATATCTTGTGATTCTGTCTATGGAAATCGAATGAGTGGTAGTTAATCTCATCAATTGACTGTGCATTATTGATATTGCATTGATCGATCAAACAAGTGATTTGGTGAGGACTTGCTTGATATTGAATAGGTCTGGCCATGAGGTTCCATCCAGCGGTCCGCATCAGAGTAGTGTGATGTGGCTGGCTGTCCTGGCCTAAAATCTCCGGCCCCAAAAGGACCCCCAAGCGCTAACGTCGATAAGGGGTTTCCCCAGCTTTATCGCACGACCAGCACGCACCAATCATTTAAGCGTCCCTCAAGCACTTCCACTTCCTAAATATCGTTTTCTACACATATGTGTTTTCTCCAACCGCCACTCCTGCGACATAGTATACTACGCAAAACCTCAATTGCCATTCGTTTCCCTAGACCTTGTTCACGGAATCTTAGCACGGGTATTTTTGCAAAAAATTTTAATATGTCTCGTATGTTCTCTTTCTTATTTCTGCTCTTGTTGAAGGAGTAGTAAAAAAAGATCTCTTAATTTCTATATTAGAAGAGAAATGCAATTGACATTGCAATCAAACTCAAACAATAAAACTAACACACCTCCCCTCTTCTAGCTATCCCCCCCACCACCAACCCCATAATCATCAGCGGCCCCTCGGGCGTCGGAAAAGGCACGCTCTACTCGCGGCTCCTGGCCAACCACCCCTCGCTCTTCACCACGTCCATCTCGCACACGACACGGGCACCGCGTCCCGGAGAACAGCGCGATGTGGATTACTACTACGTGTCGATGGAGGAGTTTGAGGCGATGATTGCGGCGGGGGATTTTGTCGAGCATGCGAAGTTTGGCGGGAATAGGTATGGTACCAGTAGGAAGATGATTGAGCAGAAGAGGGGGGAGGGAAAGATTGTCGTGTTGGATATTGAGATGGAGGTACGTGTTTAGGTTTTTTGTTTTCGAGATTTGATTTTTGGCTCTGTTGGAGAGAGGAAGAGGGGGGGAGGGAAAGAAGGATTACTCCTCTCTTTTCTCTTCTCTCCTCCCCTCACTGTTTTGGAAGAATACAATTGCTAACACGAGTAAATCACAGGGCGTAAAACAAATCCACGCGCTCAGCCCACCATTCCCAGCACGCTACGTATTCATTTCTCCTCCATCCACCGCAGACCTCTCACCCTACCAAGTTCTCGAGAAGAGATTGCGCGGAAGAGGCACGGAAAAGGAAGAATCGATTCAAAAGCGTTTGGAGCAGGCAAAGCTGGAATTGGAGTATTCGAAGACGGAGGGAGTGCATGATAAGATTATTGTGAATGATGATTTGGAGGTTGCGTATAAGGAGTTGGAGGATTATATTTTTGGCAAGGGGGGAAAGGCCGCGGATGAAAAGGAGGCGGGTGTGAGTGTTCAAGACTGAAGAGGAGTAGGCAAGAAGAGAAATTGATATTGTGGGGTGCAGAGGGTAGTATGGTTTGAGCGTGTGAAGAGAGAATTTGCATTGCGAGAGAAGTTTCCCTCGAATGTGCCAAGGCCATGAGGGGTCATACATATGCGTGGTTCTTTACATGGGACTTGGTGAGCGTAGAAAAGACTTATATACCTAGACAAGAGAATGCATACATTATCAACCTCCAAATTCACGAAATCCGAAGATCAAACGATGAGATTGCATGTTTCTCGGGTATGAAATAGGGGCTATAAACTGAACGGGCGATTCTGCAGGCCGGGTTTTGGAATCGGTCATCTTCTGTGGGCCGTAATTTTGAGAGCAGTTATTATACTTGGGGGGGGCGGCTTTTGAGGCAGGTCATATGGAGTAGGCCATTCGCAGGATCCACAATCCCCAGATATCAGCTACTTCGCGCTCAACACCATAGAAAGAACTCTAATCTCACAGCGTCATTGAGAAACTTTATTAAAGGGCCTACCCATATCATATGGTTCTGACACCACACAACGAATTTAACGAATGAACTCCTGCCACATTCATCCATCCATCCATCTATCTATCCATACGATCCACCCATCACAGGAAACAAAGCCTAGGTAATCCACGCATTCTAGAATAAACGACCGAATTTCAACACCCCTCGAAATGAAAAGATTTCCCACGCGTACTCTAGAATTTTTATGTTTGAAGGACCGAAATGCTGCTCCAACGCTGTAACACCTTGAATGGAGAATTCAAATTTATTGTAATGTGTAAGGAAAATGAAAATTGGAAATGAAATTCCGGGATAGAAGAAATGTCGGGGATTTTGCGAAATTCTTTCGCGCCTGTCTGCCTGCCTTGAAACTCCATTCTTTCGCTCTGGGAGGGGGAAATTGTTCTTTGAGAGTCGTTCTTCAGATTGTAGGATTTTCTGTAATTTTGTATCATATCGGATCGAATTGGAGAGGTCTGATAACATCGGAAGATAAGAGATGTCGAGTGGAATCAAATCTATTTCTTTCCTTGTGCGGCGGCGAGTGCTTCGGCTGCTTTTCTCTCGTCGGCTGGGAGGGAGAGTTAGTAGGCGTTGACAGATGGATGGAATGATAAATCGAGGATGGGGGGAATCTTACCTTTCCTTTGCTTTTCCATTAATAGAACACGGGTCTTATCTTTCTCGGCCTGCATTTGCGATTTCGACATTCCGCTTCCGGCTTTCTGTTTGGGGAGGGGCGGGTTAGTATATGTATTTGAAGAGGGAGAGAGAGATAGGGAGGGTAAGAGAGCAGCAGTATAGTCATAACATGGTATGCGAATAGAGATAGAAATTCCAGGAACCTAAAAGCAACATAGGAAGAAAAAAAACATACAGCAAGTTGAGCTTGTTTCTTAGCATTAGCCTCACGGGACTTTTCTCTCTGATTTCCTCTGGCCATTTTGGATTAATTAAGTATAAAAAGAGTTTGGTGTTAGATGTAAATTGTGTGTGAGTGTAAGAGATGTGTCGTGTGTCTGCGTGGCCTTTTAACTTTTTGCAAAATGCAAGTGAGGGTTTGGTCAGATTGTGGAAAAGAGAAAATGAATGGTGAGGCTGAGATATATGCACGGAGACAGAGAGAGGGAGAGAGATATGAGAAATGAATGTTCTGGATTATTGATACGGAGAATCGGAAGATGGGATTAAGCGAAGGTGCGTTGAGAGGTTTGATTGGTGGATTGGAGGGTTAGTGAGAATAGATGGATATGAATATAGATAAAATATGATAGGATGCCCAGGTAGAAATAGAAATAGAAATCATAGAATACTGTAGAGTGTGAATACAAAAATCATGGGATTTAATTGGAGGATGAGGACTTGGAAGTTTCGTTTTGTTTCAAATGACTGGTGAGTAGGTAAGCAGGAGATATTTACTAGATACGGATCGGTTCGTCTACGATTATACGATAGAATGAAGTCTGTTTCTATTTACAACCGCAAGCTATAAAAAGAATTGCACATACAAGTACATTGTATGCAGTACGTCCTTTACAAAGAATGTTCATTTATCCTTTCATTGGCTATAAGTTTCTTCATTCTCGTTTTCTCTCTTCTTTCTCTTCTTTCAGCACTCTGTATACATTCAAATCATGAAACATCCTTACCCAAAAGGCATTTTTCATCCAATGATTGGAATTCTACTTTTATATCACGAAACAGAGCTATTTCCAAACCTCTCTCTGACTTAACAATCAATTCATGCATTGCATTTCTATTTCATTGGATAAGAAGGACCTTTGTTACTACGATGATCGATGTCAAGCGCGTCTTTTCAACTCTTTCGCGCCAGAGAGGAGTTCTCCTTACACACCTTGAAGCAAACCGAGTTTGGGTGATCAAACTTTACTTGATTTCATCCATTGATTTCTGCCCGTTCTGGATTTCTCTTCTGAATGAGTTCTAGAGGTTGTACATAATGGTCAAAGAATCTCTAGGTCGTGTCTATGTTATTGGATTTCCTTTCATCCTTTGGTAGATAATAGGATAATAAAGAGTTCATTCACCCCACAATAGCTATATCTTTTGGCGTCAAAGTTCGAGTCAAAGGGTTTGGGGGATACTTCTTTCAATCGTCATACACATTCACCTTTTCGTCTTGTGTATCTATTGTCTATTGACGAAGACAATAGGACTCATTCGAAAAGATCGTTATTTCTATTGTTAGAATTATTCAAACAATGAAGTCGGGACTTCAATAACGAACAACTGTTTTATTTAATATATCTTCTTTTCCTCCTGTTTGAGATTCTGATTCTGATTCGGTTTCTTACTTCTTTCACTCTGAAAATTATAATCTTTCACTTCTTCACGATCTTTCTAAAAGTTCTATACACAACTACAACTATACAACACAACTTACCAAGTTTCATACTTAATTCTTACTACACACATACTTTGAAAGTATTCCAAAACTCTTCTATTTACTGCAGGCAGTTACTACTACGCTTCCTTACCACAATTGTAAGTTCTTTCTTGTCGTCGTCTGGGAGATTGCTCAAGAGACTTGGCTAACACATTCTTAGATTCAAAACTATACATATATTCGTCCTTTAATACAACACAATCACGATGTTGAACGTCAAACAAGCCGGTCGAGGCTTTGTGGTTCTTAACATCATTCGTGTTATGAACATTATAGCACTCCTCGATGTTATCGCAGCAAGTTGGATCATGCTTGTCATGACCGTCAAGACCTCTAACGTAAGTCCCTTCTTCCCTCTTGCTTACTCTAGTGCCCAGCTAACACCTCATCTAGTTCTTCTTCTTTGATGGAGTTTCTCACTTTATCACCAGCTCTATCGGAATCTTCCTTATCATTTCAGAGCTCACCCTCTTCAAGAAATACTTCGAGAATTTCTGGCCTCTCCTCTGTCCCCACAATGGTTTTCTCTTCCTTGGTCTCTCCATGTTAGCTCTTGGTTTCAATATCCTTGGAAACTTGAACAAGAATGCCACTTCTGTTGAAAACTTAGGATTACCTATGTGGCGTGTGGTCATCTCTTCAGGATGTCTTTCAGCTATTCTAGGAGGTATCAATTGTATAGCCGTAAGTCCTCTTTCCTTCCACTCCTACTCCCTCTCTTTGATAACAAGTCCACTAACAGACTCACAGTCCCAAATCTTCACAACCAAAACCAAGACCGCACGCCAACTCCGCGCCCACGGTGCCACCGACGCCCCCAACCCCTACGAGAAACGTCTCTCTCTCCCCTCCTCTATCAACAACGATCTCCCCTCCTACTACAGCAATCCCGCCGAACGCCGCAAATCGCGCTTCCCCTTCCGCCTCCCTCTCCGCGCTTCGCAAATCCACATCTCCAAACCCGTCATCTCAGACCCGCAACCATTTCACCCAGATCTTGAAGTCGGCGAAAGCTACGATCATCAGAAAATGGATAGAAGTAGTCCCATCGTGCCGGGTGTCGAGAGACCACCCACCGCAATGCATCCTGCGAATCTGAGACCCCCGCCTGCGCCCAGAAGTAGCATCTACAGTGTTGCGAGTAATGTGACGAGGTTTACGAGGATTTAGATGGGTTTGAGCGTGCATGCGTGGATAGCGTGCACATTTGCCGGGAAGGGATCAATAGATCAATTTAAAAGTTTAGCATAGCATAGCGTAGCGTAGGATAGGATAGGATAGGATGGGATGGGATGGGATAGGGTGAATAGCGAGATTTTGATAATCCGGGAATACGATACGATACGTTACGATGGAATTGGTGTTCATTGGTGTTTAGGGAATGGATGGATATATGGAATACCCCAATGATCCCTTTTTGCTTTTTTGCTTTTTCTAAAAATTTTACCTTCTTGTATTTTCTAAAAAGGAAGTGAATGAGATGAGATGGGATGAGATGGGATGAGGTATCATGAAGAAACGGATGATTATTCACGAATTTCAATTTCAATTTCATCTCTATATCTATCTGCAGTTACCGACTTTGTTTTCATAATACTTACACACTCTTACTCTTACTCTTCGTTTGCTTCTTTTCGAAATACTTCCACTTGCTCACTGTGATTCATACTATCAATAACAATAAATTGATTAATATTCATGTTTTCATAGGTAAGTAGGTAAGTAGGCAAGTAACTTTTCTCATGTCATGTTTAAGATCGCTGCGTATGTTTCGTAACATACTGTACTGTATCGATTCATATCTTGTTCATGCTATGCTATGCTATCCTATCTTATCCATCACCCCCTCTCACTATACGATCACTCGATTTCCTCATCTCATCTCATCTCATCTCAAGATATAAACTCGCCCAAAAAAATCCACTCATTCATCCATCCATCCCGCAAACCAAAACACAATCTGCAATTACCCCTCCCCTTCCCTCAAACAAAAACAAACAAAAACAAAAACGAAAACCCCTCAAATATACGCGCTAAAATCCCCCTCACTCCCCATTCCCACCTCTATCCCCTCCACCTGCCGTCCAATCCTCGCCTTCGTACTCCCAATCCTCCTATTCTCTCTCGAATCCACACTTACCGGTCTGCGATGCGCCCCCTGCACCATGCGCGCATTGGGACCCACGATGAGATTTCCCATCGTGGGGGATTCTTCGCGTGCTTCGTGGAGAATATGTTCGGGTTTTTGAGAGGGTTCTTTAGAATGCAAATGTGATGTTGAGTGGGGATGTGAAGCAGAGGTGTAATAATCATCTCCTTTGACGCCCGCCTCTGTAGATCGTCGTAATGATGGATTCTGCTCATTCCAGATAGCATTTGCAGATTCTTCGAGATCGGGGGTATACGGATTCGACAAGAAAGGCGAGAAGTGCGGGATGGCGAGCGTGGAGCTTCTCCCTCGCGATGTATTTCCCGTCGTACTTGCACCTACAGTTCCAGATCCGCTCGTGCTACCGCCCACAGGAGGGAGTTGCGGGATTCGAGGAATCGTCTGGGTAGTGCCGTGACGTATGAAATTGGGCTGCGAATCGACATCTGTGCTTTCGCCCATGCTTTCCCAGCTGCCGGCGCTGAATTCGCTGGGGAGGATGTCGCTGCCATTTTCAGTTTCTGTGGTTTGTTGTCTTGTTCCTCTTTCTCGTTCTCGTTCTCTTCTCTCTATTTCTAAAAGCTGCGTATGCCTACTCTGACTCTGAGAAACATTTCCCGAGTTAGGCACTTGCTCTTGATGAATCTGTAATTCCTGCATACTCGGACTCACACTCTCGAATCTACTATCCAAGCTGACCAAACTGTCGCTGCCCTTCAATCTGCTTTTGCTAAATGTAGCCTGGATATACGATCTCAACTGTCTGGTTCCTTCTTTAGCACTCGAATATCCATTCGGATATGTTATTCCCAACGAATCGTTATTGATCCCCGCACCAGCGGCTCGTACTTCGTCGCCAACATGTACTTCTTCCGGCACGGTTGGCGAATCCGCAAAACTTCTTCTTGCCTTGCGACGCACAGAAGCCATACCTCCTCCGCTAAAAAAGGGAGATGCGCCTCCGCGACGAGAGACTGGTCGTGTGTTAATGCTACTATATGACATTCTACTATTTCCTCCCGTTTCCGACTCCCAGATTGGTGCCGGGGCCCGAGGACTCTTAGGCACGGGTTTTATGCTTAGCATTTCATTGCCGCCACTTGGCGACACCGTTGCGTGGCCGAATTTCAGAAGGTCGGTAGAGGTGGTTGAGTATACGCTTGTTGCACTGCGATGTTTATCAACATCGTTATCCAGAGTATGAACCGTTTTCCACGTGCGAGAATTGCGTGCGAGACTGGGATGTTGACCATGTCCTATGCTTCCTCTACGACCTGGTGAATTCAAGATATCGAATGAAGAAATTGATTCTCGAGCTCCGTGGCCAAGCCCACTCAGCCGTTTATCTACACCTTCTGCTAATGCGAAATTGAGATTTCGCGTTGTGGATTTACGATGGGCTCGTTTTTTCTCGTTGTTCTGGTTCTGACTTTGTTTGTTTTGTCGTGGTGCAAGAGGTGCTCGGGTTGCTTTGCTCCAATCTCCTGATAACACGGAGAAGTTATCCAAAGGAGAAGTTGAAAAATTACTATCCGTCAAGTTCAATATCGTACCATCAGAAGGGTTGGTGCCAAAGAGACTTTGATTGCCAAGTTGGCTCATCTCACTATTCCTCAACCTTGGATCGTTACTCACAACATATTGCGATCGTCGCGTGTGCCCTTTCCGTGAGTAGTTTGAATAGTTCCGTTGTAGCATATTAGTACTATTTGTTCTCGCACTATCCAAAGTATAGTCCGTTTCTCGAGTATCTCTCCATGTACTCCGATTTGGAGTATTACTAAGTGCATTTTCAGAATTTGCGCGCGCCCTATTTCCGAAGCTTTGGGATTCGCGAAACTTCGACTTTGGAGCCAAAGTTTGTGATCGTCGGAGAGATTTGCGATTGTCATGAACCACAATATTGGGGGTAGTTGATGTATAAACACTAGAACTAGCATCGATGGAGAAGCCAGAGGTATCGAGCTGCAAAGGTTCGATCTTTTTAGCAGAATATGCTCGTTCTATACTAGACGTACTTCTTATGGGACCTGAGATATCCTCTTTGGAAGGTCCTCCTGAACGTAATGAGGAACTGGAACGTTTTCTGCGGTAATTAAACAGACAGAGAATGAGAGCGATAAAAACAATCAACACTGGAACAACAATTGCAGCAATGACTCCTCTGCTCAAATTTTCGCTCGCAGGTGAATTTACACCAGATGTTGCAGATGTACCCGATGCTGGTGGAACACCTGTAGAAGAGGAGCCATCTGATGCTTGAATGGCTAAACTGAAAGATTCAGAGCTGGAGCGTCTCGATGTTTTGGAGGTTGCCGTAAGTGTGATATTGATATTCGAGGGCTTAGCAGATGTAGGCACCTTTCCTGATATTTTGAAACTATGAGCATCAAAATATATCCAGTCCGTTGGTGGAGATACTTGTGCTGTTAATGTAGTATCGTAATTGTTTCCAATATAAGCACCGAGGCTAAAAGAAAATTTGTAACCAATGCTTGCATTCACGTCTCTTATAGGACCAACAAATAATGCTGTAGCTATTTTGATGAGCACCACAGTATTAACTTGATCCCCATATATATCTGTAGCCTGTACGGAGACGTTATACGAAATGGCATCGGAAGGTGGTGTGCCGATCAGACTGAGAGTAGTATTATCGAAGTCAAGCCATTCTGGCGTCTGAGCAGTAACCGAGACTATGCTTGAAGAATTGGCGGGCTGTCCATCGAGCTGCAGACTGTTTTGTAGACCCGTGTAGTTGACTTCCACTCCTGGTGTAGCATTAACAACTGAGTTTACAGTACTAAATGCTAGTAGATGTACCCCAACTCTAATGTTGAAGGGGATCGATGCTCCAGAGTATCCTGATACATCCGAAGCAATAAGCTGAACTCCGAAAGTCTGGGGTGGCTGTATGAGAGAAGCATACTCTGGTGTTTGACCGCTAAAAGTAAGGGTATTCTCGTCAAAAAGAACCCATGAAGGCAGAGGTGTATCATCGACTGTTAAAGCGTAGTATTTAAGAGCTGTGCCGCTAGGACTTGAGAAAGTTGACGGGTCGAAGCTAATCTCGAAGGATGATGAAGGATGGTATAATAACGTTGATGGCGCTGAAAAAGGCCATTCTGAAGAAAGTTGCGATTCGGCTGGAATTTTAATTGTCGGTGGTGAGTTTTTGGACACTACTAGAGTCGTATTCGACGTCACAGATCCAGAGGAGTCGCTTGCAATTACTCCAAAGACAACCTCTGTCACAATTCCAGAGCCAGTATCACTACTAGATGGTATGCCTGATAATGTTCGAGAAGTACTATCAATGGAGAGCCATTGAGGCGAATCTGCTAAGCTGTAGCTGAGAGGGGATGTTGAAGTAAACGTTGATTGGGGAAATGTATATGAATAAGGTGTTGACACGCGCACAATGGGAGGGAACTGAGAATTGATCGGGTATGCGATAGATGGTATAGCATCAACGACTGCTCCAAGGATAGCAATACCAGACAAAGTAATCCTCATTGCCATTTCCAGAGAGTCTTGCAGATATAATTCTCAGAAAGTCGGAATGAAGATACTACTTGCATACAGAATGAGAGATAATACATGTCAACATAATCTTTAGATGAAAACGGCGACTGGCAGAAGAAATTCGACATAGGAAAAGCTAGATATCATGGGCTTGCCATCGCCAGATATTCCAAAGGCGCAGTAGAGGGAGATCTCCATATCGGTATCACCTTACCTGAAATTCGAGAACCGTCGTGATGTAAGGGATAAGGAATTATCATACCCCCGCCTTACCAGACAATTGAGATATTCATGGAGGTTGAAATGCTGATTTGAGGCTATACATAGTCAAATTCCATTGACCAGCCCCATCGAAGCTAGCAACATTCTGTGGCGAGTTTGAGGAAACAGAAGTAATGTCGAGAAACTTATCCGAACAGAACTTTCAAAGTGATATTCATAATTCAGTTCCTCTCCAAACAAGATATAATCTGTGACAATTTCGTAGGGTTTTGGCAGCAACAGAGGGAGGTTCAAATTGAGAGTAGTTAGCACATACATAGGTTTATCTGAACCTTTCGACAGCTCATTAAATGTAGACTTCATCAAATCCTGCATCATTATTCGATGATCTTAGCATTCCTTGCCGAGTATATTCAATTGTCCAGGCCAGGAAAATGCCCTTTTGGTGTTTTAAAAAGGGTTGTCACAGGGAGAAAGGATGAAGGGATATTGAAACTCGTTTTAAGACGGTGAACCACATTAGGCGAGACAGCTTACATAACACGGCAAAATTCATGGTAGGATGGTGGGGCAATATCAAAAGTCTAGAAGTGTATGAATGTTGTTGCCGCGGGTTTCCAATTTTTTTCAAATCCCCAAAATGACTGCTTCCAGATCTCCCTCCCCGGAGTTCTCTCCCCTAGCAATTGGAATTGATCTGGCTCCTCTTCCAACCTACAAAGCGGCCACAACCAGCACCGTAAACTTTTCCGGTCTTCTCGAGCCCCCATTAAAACTACACGAAGATCTCTCAAAAGGATGTGGAGGTCAACTTTGGCCTGCGGGTATGGTGCTTGCGCAGCATATGCTGCGGTATCACAAAGATACTTTGAAGGATGCTAAGATGTAAGTTTCATCTCACATCTCATCCCGTATTAAAAACTGCAAAAATTATCTTGTGGAAAGGCTTGCAGATTCTGGATGTCCGGGGAAAAGTCACGTGTTGTTTGTTTCTCTACGGTGATATGTAGTCACGATGATGTTATACATGATATAATATTGTTTGATCTTTTTGATATCCCGAGGGATTTGGAGGAGGTTTAACATAGGAAGGGCCAAAAGAAATGCGGAAAAGGGGAATAGTGATTCGAGTCATGAGAGTTTACAGCACAATATACGATCCACAGCACAGCACAATCCAAAAGCTCAAGAACTAACGAAGATCCAGACTCGAACTTGGGGCTGGAGGTGGATTAGTTGGGTTAGCCGTAGCTCTAGCATGTGATCTTCAACATCCATTAATCCTTTCCGACATGGAAGTTATGTACGAACTCATGAAGCAAAACATTGCTCTTAACGAAGTATCCTCGAAAGTCGAACCGCTGATCTTGAATTGGTATGCTTGCAAACTTCTCTGCTTGTTTATGAATGTACTCTGATTAGAATAGGGGTGAACCATTACCAGAGCTAGTAGTGAAAGATAAGCCAGATGTTATTTTAGCAGCTGATTGCGTCTATTTTGAACCCGCGTTTCCATTACTACTTCAGACGCTCGAAGAGCTATTAGGATTATCAAAGGATGCGGTCATTTACTTCTGTTTCAAGAAGAGAAGGAAGGCAGATATGCAGTTTATGAAGAAAGCAAAGAAGAAGTTCCTGGTCGAGGAAATTGAGGATCAGGATAGAGATACTTTTACTCGGGAGGGTTTGTTCTTGTACACATTCAAACGAAAATCATGATACCCAGAATTTGTAACATCAGGCGTGTATTAAAACAATGGCTCTAATATCTATGTCTACCTAATATGCAGTCTAGAACTGTTACCATAAACTGAAGCTTTTACTCTTCGCTAGCACCCATGTTTACACCCAACAAAAATGCCGGTTCATCAACCTTATGATGTTCATAACTCAACACACCTACAGCTCCCGGCTCAAGCATCATGGGCAACGCTCTTCCCAACTCAAACCCAATCCATCTCTTCGCAAACGCTCTCAGAATATGTCCATGCGCAATCAACACAACATCCACCCCCTTCTCCCCATGCATATACGGGCCCTGCATTTCCCTGATTTTCGCAATAACCCCATCCAATCTCTCCTTCACTTCATCCGCGCTTTCTCCATCCTCACATCCATCCGTCCAAATATTCCACGGTCTCTCTGCATCCAAACCCCGTTCCTTCCGCGCAGCTCTGATTTGCGCAGTCAGTAACCCTTCATAAGTTCCATATTCCCATTCCCTAATATCTTCTGTGACTTCTGTTTTATCTGCAAGTTGTTGCTGTGTTTTTTCGTCAAAGAGGATTTCGAATGTGCGACGAGCGCGGGTTCGCGGAGAGATGAATATGTGCGCGAGCCTCGAAGGATTGATAATTTTGGAGGGGCCGACTAGAACGCCAGCGGAAGAGGAAACTTGGGTTTCTCCATGGGGAGTTAAAGGAATGTCGCTCCGGCCTGTGTAGCGGCCTGAGATGGTCCATTCTGTTTCGCCTGGGAGGTGATGAAGTTAGACCTTTGACTGTCCAAACCTTTAGATCCTAGTGGATGTGTGCGAGTATTGAACGATGTATAGTGCAGTTGTGAATGCGCATTTCAAGGAGCCATAAGTGACTTACCACTGATACAGAGTCAGCATTTGTTACCCATCCAATCTACGTTGGGGCATGAGAATAACATATAACCCATGGAGAATGTTCTGCTCGAGGTTTCTCGAGGTTGAGTAGAGAAAATACTTACTGTCTAATGAGGAAGACTCTTGGAGTACCTGCGTCCTTGTCTGGCATGATGAATTTATTATCGATCCTTTAATTGTACAATTGACAGCTTCAAAATGCAAAGGAATGCCAGGAGCACAAAGTAAATAAACCCCTACCAAAAGCTTGGCATATCTGATAAGAAGCCCCTCGTGCTTATCGATGAGTCTCGCATAGAAACTCTGGTTGAGCTCAAAAAGGGGTTCACCGGTAACCTTAACATGTATGAAGCTCACCAGGCGCACCTTTATGAAAAATGGCTTCGCCGCCAATCGCCAAAAATCGTATTCTCAATGATGGGAAGAAATCCAGGATGGTATCCAGATGAATTTTAATTCGTCTAATCTATCATAAGGTATAATACATAGTTGCACATAGGTAAATGAAATAAGCTACAATCTGCCCAGCTCATGATGACGTCTATATCCAAAACAACCCGAATAGCCCTAGCCCTGTACATCTATACATGCAAAAGTGGTATATATAAAAAATTACAAGCTCTAACCTCACTCTCATCTGGATGTGCAACATAATATTTACATCTTCAAGATTGTCAGTCCTTATCATTTTTATCATAGCCGTCAACATGATCTACTCCCTGCAATAAACCCTTTTCCTGAAAGCTGCGGCGGAAAGCTTTTGCTTCAGGCGTCATTATCCATTGTGTCGTTCTTCGGAATAGTAGCTTATTGGTTGGCAGCAGTCTCGGTTCTCTTTTATCTTCAATCACTGATTGTCGTTGTCGTTGTTCAGTTTGATCGTCTATTTGGCTGTCTGGAAGCTGTAGTGAATTCTGTTCGTTGACACTAATCGACTTGTCTGGTTGAGCCAATACCATTTCAGACTCAGCTACATAGTCGACTTTGGATATGGCTACCTGTTCCCTTGGTTGATCCAAAGATTCAGTCGATACATTTTCAAGTTCAGCTACATCATCGCTTATTGGCTCTGCTTCCGGCTTGATAACATTTTCTTCGCCGGCCCGGATCATAGCGTCAAAGATCCAATTAGGATAGACCGGAGAGTTTACAGCTTGTAGACGGCGCTTAAGAATACGATATATATCTCCTGTTCTAGAAGTGGTAGCCTCCAAAACTTCTTCATCGATGATATCGTCCACAGCCGGATCTGGCATCTCGGACTCAGACTCCATAGCATTGGCTACATCTGCCAGTGATGTCTCATTGCCACCAGGAGCAGATTGCAAGGCTTCACTTAAACGAGCTCTAGCTTGGAATCTGAGCCACCACCTGCTTGCCATGATATGGTCGACAATAAACCCGGCCCGCTTTGTTCGAATGAGGGCATCTGCGGTCATTTGTGGGTCTTGAAGTCTCATGTAGCCCATGGTCAATGCATTCCATGTTGCTTGGTTGGGCTCCAAACCTTCTTTCTCAATCATGATCTGTAACACCTTTTCGGCTGCACGAGGTTGATGACGTTGCATGAATACATTAAGTAATGTAGTCCATGTATGAAGACTTGGAGGGGGTGGCTGGAAAGTATCGTCAGTTGCATCAAAGGATACATCATCTGACTCAGAATCTATGTCGCTCTGTTCCGAGCTACTTGACACCGCAGCAACATCATCTTCATCAAGAGATTGACCAATCTCACTTTCAGTTACCGGGTTCCTTGGTCTGGAATGCGGAGCTTGCATATCAGCAACGATTTTCAGACATTCGTGCATTGGTGCATCGAGATGGCCGAGTCCAACGAGCAAGTGGTTGTAGATTTGAGCTTCTACCAATAGAGGTGCGACTATTGGGTCTCTTGCAGCTATCAGGGCTTTGAAATGGCTGTAAAATCTCAACAAAGCCTTGTAATCCCGAACGCTTTCAATGTATGATTTCAGCATCACTATTAAGGTCACATAGTTCGGTTCTAGAAGCGCATCTTCGGCAGCGGACTCGAGGGGTGGTATGGCAGTTTCTGATTGGGTTGTAATAGACAAGTCAAGATGATGTTGGCCTTCTTCCACACTACCCTGGATGTCATGGTGGGTGCCATCTACACCATCGTCAGGATTCATCGACCCCAGACCTGAGAAATTCTCCTGAAATCTAGGTATGAGTTGAGCCAACGGTTCCACCTCGAAGTTCTTCATGTAGATTGGAAGCATCTGCGAGAACGGGGTTTGAAGAGATCTTCTCTCACTGGGGGCGCGCTTGAAATATTCTCGCCTGTGTAAGCGAAAGATTGTGTCTAATATGTCTGTGACGGTATAACTGTTCCGAACACTGTCCTCGCTCATCCAATGCACCAATTTTTCGACCGCAACATCATCTCCACGAATCTTGGCGTCATTTAGCATGATTGAATAAGTGTACACGTCCGCCATTACGCGATTTTCAATCATCATATCATAGATTTGCCACGCCGTAAGATGGTCTCCAGCTTGAAGTGAATTTTGGATCAAGATGTTGTATGTAACAATCCCGGGCTTCAGACCATGATGTAGCATGAAATCAAAAAGTTCTGTATCTGTAACATGTGCATCATAGTCACGATATCTGCCGGTAAGAAGCACATTGCAAATTTGTGGCCATCTTCCAAGGTTCAGATCAATGCCTTGTTGGGTTGCTTGCTGCAGTACTTGAAAAGCCATATCTGTCTGGCGAGATCGTGCAAAACGATAGGCAAGTCGTAGTAAGGTTTTGCCAGTGAGATGCTGTCTTGTGCCTGTTAGTATGAGATAGAATGTCTTAAATTCTTGGTCATTCATCATCAATTGCAACAAGTAGATCGAGCGCGCGCTCAGCCGGAGGCCGCGAAGCTGGAGATATTGTACACTCTCAAATATCTGTCGAAGATCCTCGGCAGTGAAAGATTCTGGAGTGGGTTTGTGCTCTTGTGACCCAAAATAATGAGATACTGCAAAATCGAGGCAGTCGTTTGCGGCCCATCCAGGTGGGAAAAATGGTGCTTGATATGTTGCAAGTAGTAACTTGAGAGTAGATGCAGGATATTGGTCCATCGCTGTAAGCATAAGCTCCTCCCAAACATGAGAACAGATCTCCGTAGGAACTCGACGCCAAATGGCAGCTAGGGCAGCGGCATTACCTTGCTTTATGAATAGTAACCTCGATGCAAGGGGAAACTTCGAGATAGCAACGTTTTTGTACTCCAACTTGGGATAACCCTTCAAAGCATCTTCGTGTCGTTGATTGATAATCGCAAATTGGGAAGACCATTTCCATGTCTTTAACTTCATAATGTTGGCTCCTGAATCTATTTTTACTCTGAGATATTTGGTTGAGAGCTCTGGTAGACCTTGTTGCTGGGCCCAAAGTTCATAATGAGAAAGCAATTCCTGGCGCAGTCCTGGATCAGTTTTGATACACTCAGAGTGTAGGCGTCGCCGATTTAATGAAATATTCCTATTGACGGACAGCATACCCTTCGGTCGTCCGTGATTTTCACGAAGAGATTTATATCCACTGGGTCTTCCGAAAAAAAGTGACCGTCTCAGAAAGGTATTTTTGAGGCGCGACCCTGTGACCGGCGGATCTTGTCTTTCAGATCTTTCCCTGGTAGATCTGTGATGAGTGCTCTTGGGTTCTGCCGTTGCCGCAACGACGACAGACTGACCTGATGAATTGGTTCCATTGCTAGACTTTTCCGGTAGTATCTTGATCTGTGGAGAAAGGGGTGATGTTGACGAAGGTTGTTGAGGGTTGAGTTTTGACAAAATGTGTAGAGGAAGAGCAGTGGGGTTTCCAGAGCGACTCGGCTTGGTATTACCTGACGTAAAAACATCCTGATTGTAAAAATGGATGTCGTTGGAAACAGTTCTTGATCGCGAATGGAGTGCTCCCGGTCTAGAAGGCACACGATGTGTCTCAAGATGTGGCCTTGGACGGTAAAACGATGATGCGGTTGACCGCACGCGACGAGGTCTCAATGAAGAGCTTGTATTCATGGAATTTTCTGCTTTTCCTGAGTCTTGACGAATTGATGGGGCGGGATTCGGCTGACACTCCAACGGTCGCTTGAACCCTGATTCATATGGTGCCTTTGAGTGATCTTCGGGGATCAGCCCATCGCCATTACTCTCAGTTATTCTCCCGAAACTACCTTTGGAAGAGAAGTGTCTGATAGACGCATGATCAGGTATATCTATGCGGGAGAAGGAAGTGGGGGTCGTTCGTCGTTTGCTGAATCTGGCATATCTTGTGTTGGATTTCACTAGCACATTGGGTGATAAATCTCCCGCACACTTTGGATGTGTATCTTCCCCCCTCCCAACTGGCGATCGTGCACGCCTTTCATGGCCTTGATTTCGCCCCGGTTTCGTTTTCAAACAAACTCTGGCACCCTTGGAGGGCCATGGCTGGAAGACTCTCGGTGCAAGGAACGGAAGAATTGGCAATTCCGATGGCGACCATCGTCTTGGTAGAGAGTTCGAAAATGGAGGCATCAGCTGCCGGCATGCATTTTCTAATCCATTGACTGGCACTTTATACAGCTGGCTTTAAGAGAGGGCTACACTTTTAAAATTTGGGCCCGGGAAAAAAATTAAGGTTTACCTTAGCGGCCGGGGTATGACCAGGCTGAGGTTACCGTGAGCCAATCAAAGTACGCATTAGAACTTCAATATCTCTCCCGGCTGTAGATTTATTATTCGATTTGAACTTCTCAATTATCCGTAACTGGAACATACAAAAATTGACAATTCAGCTACACGTTCAAATTATCACATCATATTAACCCCGGCAATGTCATCTACACATGCCACTCTAGGCGCTGCCGCAGATGAGCGCAAAGCGCGACTTGCAAAGCTCAAATCCCTAAAAAGAAAGCAACCAGCCGACGAAATTGTAGCGCCAGAATCAACGCGGTCACCTTCACCACCTGCCTCCCCCGACGTTGCGAAGCTGCATCTCTCGGGACGTAACTACGACCCTGAAACTAAAGGTCCCAAGCTTGGTTTTGAAGCTCCTCCCACATTGGCACTCGAAAAACCTACACTTGAACAACAGGCTGCAGAGGTTGAGGAGAAAATCAGGAAGAAAGCAGAAGAAGAGGAGCAGGATGATAAGGGCGTAGACTTATTCAAATTGCAACCCAAGAAACCTAATTGGGATCTAAAGAGGGACCTCGAGAAGAAAATGGAAGTCCTCAATGTGCGGACGGAGAATGCGATCGCGAGACTAGTGAGGGAACAGATTGAGAGTGCGCAAAAGGCGGCTAGAACGAAAGGTGGAAAAGGTGCAATAAGTGCAAGTGAGGGTGGAGAAGAGCTCGGGATGGAAGGTGTTGCTTTGGTGGAGGGAGTCAAGCTGAGGGAGAAGGAGGAGGAGGAGGAAGAGCGACGTGAGAAGGAAGATGAAGATTTACAGTAAGATCACTTCGAGAAATTACTTGATTGTACAAAAGGCGTTCAAATGAAGGCAGGCATAGTATAAGGCGTAGGGGCGTCTTAAACCTTAATATAGATACAAAAATTGGCAGGAAGCCAAGGGGTATTTCACAACCGCGCGACCATTTTCTGCCACTTGCTCCCTCAGAACACTCAACGGTCCATATTCATTGCTTGCGTTAGTGCCAATCTCTTGCTAAAAGGGCTCATGCTCCTCTCCCTCGGTGGGTGTGCATGAGCTGCAGAGGACGCGAAGGTCTCTCTACGCCCTTTGTTAACTCGAGGCTCATCAAATCGTCTCCTGTCAGTTGAGACGTTTCTTCTACCTCGATAGGGACTTCGACTCTCAGTCCTCCTTCCGCGAATCTCAGGGCTCCGATCGTTGAACCTCTTTCTGGTACTCCGGCTATTTCCCCTCTCCCTTGAATCTCTCATATCTTCCTCGTCTCTAGAGCTATATGAATCTACGGAAGAGGATGCGTCTCGTCTACGCTTTTGTCTCGAGTTGTGTACATCTTGTCGTGGCGGTGATGGCGACGGCGACAAGCTAGGAGTACTACGCTTATATCGACTGGGCGCAGGTTGAGGTGGTGAATGTGAACGTCTAGATTTGTATGTATTAGGTGCGCGTCGAGCTTCTCTTGGTGAGGGCGAACGTGACATGTTTGTAGATATTGTCGAAACCGATGCTGATGAAGCCGACCTTCTTCTCTTAGAAGCTCCCGTTTCCATGTCTTCATTTTGTCTCTCGCGTTTACGACCTCGTTCCTGCTCCAGTTTCGCAAGTTGCTCATCGGCAATGCCTTTCCTATAATATGTAGTCAGCACAAAGCACTAGCTCCCTTGTAGAATAAACTTTGAACAAATGCTCTGATCTGAAGCGCGCCCCCAAAAATGCGATGTCCCAATTGACTGAACAAGAGCTGAGAGCCTAACGACATTCTTCCAAACTAATACACAGGAGCCATTGGGGGCTAAAAAGGGACCGCAATCACAAAGGCGTGTGCGAGAAGAAACACGTACTTTTTCAAAAGATCTTGTGGTACATCACTTGTCAATTTTGGAACAAGCTTGGGATTGGAAAGTTGTTGTGTACGAGAGGGTCGAGAAACATATGGACGCTCTTGCGCATTTGCTTTGCACTCATAACTATAGTGTCGTAAGGAACGGTTAGCTATGAAGAACGAAAGTAAGCCAAAAGGTAAACATATCTTTTTTGAGGCACTTTTGGCACGTAGTTGTAGCGGACGCTTTTGAAGGACCCCCAATAGTGGCAGGCCTGTTAATCCCATGGTAGCGATTCATGATAGCAATGGCAACGGCAATGGCAATAGTGGTGTTGACGATGTGGTTGTTGTGATGGTGGTGTTGTATTGTAAGTGGATAGTGAAGATGGTATTTAAGAGTGTGGATTTGACTCGTCAAGTTGAATGTGTATAAATGACACTGGGAATCTCAGAAGCTACAAATAGCTTTCACCAAGATATAAATAAAAGTAACTTATCGATAGACCTTATCCGATCAATGTTTGTGCACCACCAATGAAATAAAGGACCAGGTAGTGGTAGTTCAAGAAAAGGAGTTCAGCAAACAGCCTTGGAAAGGAAAGTTTGTGTACTTAAGTATAGTTTTGAGTCAAATTGGGATTGTGTAAAGATGCTGTTCCTTTTGTGAAAATAATATCTCCTATCGTCGCTATCATCATCATCATCATCATCATCATCATCAACTTCATCTGCTGCCTCTTCTTCCTCTTCCTCTTATTATATCAATACAAAATAAGAATTCCTTCATACTGTAGTCAACATCCCATGGCCCCACTTTAAATTCAGGATTCCCGCTAAAGAATTCTCGGGGAGCCTTAGCCTTAAACTTCTTGCAATGAACGTCCACACCACCCGGCCAGCACAATCAATCAATCTCTTGATTTGATTTCCTAATAATCTGATGATGCACTTTGGAGATTCTTGAGATCTCCTGTATGTGAACATCGAATTTTTATCCCGACTATACCAACGGAATATCAAATATTCAGGCAAACTTTTCGCCGTGTATTGATACCCAAGACTTATTTGGAAAGGGAAAATAGTTTGTCGGTAATAGGAGTATCGGCGTATCAATTATCTTTGAAGGAAGTGGGTTGTACCAAAAACCACATCAGGTATTCCACCATACAGTTCGGTACCGCGAAACAAATCTTCTGAAAGGACGGAAACCTTCAATTCAAATTACTATTCTACAGAAGCTTGTCGGCCAAACGACAATGACCAGATGTCTATTCTTTCCATTGAACGCTTTTGTTAATCTACTTCCTTAATCTACATCACTTCCAAAAGTATTACTCTTCGACGGCCCCTCTGCCAACCTGCGATTTCGACATTGTCCAATCTGGACATATACGCTCATTTCCGCGATTTGATTTACAATTAAAGCATACCTTTCATGGCTACTGCGCCAATGACGACAGATCCATCGAGGCTGTCATTCGCAAAGGTGCGCAAATTCACTGGATATTACTCAGCCCACTTGATGACTTGTCGCTGGTCGACTTTGGCTTCTCTATCATATCTAAGTCCTTTGCTAATAAACATCATCGATAGATTGCCGCCTCAGCTGGGAAAGATAATGTAGCTCTTGCTTCTTTCGCAAAAATTGCTGCCTCTTCAACTTCTGTACGAGATACGAGATCTGAGAACATAGCTCCAACTGTACATGAAAACAAAGACACAAACATGCCTAGTGCTACACGCGATGATACTGGCAATTTGACCACTCCCAAAGAGACGGGCACATCGACAAACGATCAATCCTCAAAGAAGAGGGCAATAACCGAGAGCAAACCCATGGCTGCTAAGAAGGAATCGGATTTGGCAGATGCGGTTAAAGCGATGCAAATCCGTGATATCACACCAAGCCTTGTTGTCAATGGCTCAGGGATTGCACCTCCTACTCACAAACGAGACCTGGGAGAAGGATTTCCAGAAGATCCATTTCAGAGAACAGAATCTGGGTCCGACCTAGGAACGAAGCCTCCAAGTTTGGATGGAAAAAGTATTACCTCAGGTACAACATTTGCTTTGGATGAGAAGGAGTCTTTACGTCCTGATGACAGCGCGAGCGTAAAAGCAGCCGAAGATGATGATACATTTTCGGGTCGCGGTTCTATTGTTGCTGGTTCTAGAATTGGATCTGAAGCAGCTGCAAGAGCTTATCGTGCACAGTTCTATGAGGCCCCTGATCGACGTAGTATACAACTTATGCAGGAGCGTCAAACTCAGGGCATTGTCACTCCTCAGAGTGGATCGTCTGGACAGCAGACCACGGATGACAAGTCCAAGCCGCTTGTAGGCCCATCAGGTTCAACTGAAGCTGCATTCACACTCTTCTATCGTCAGACGCCTGATGAGAAGCTTTTAGAGGCGTTAGAATCGCCAAAAGATCGCATCTTTCTCCTTCGTCTCGAGAAGGATGTTATTGAGTTTGTGAAGGATTCCAAGTTAGTTTTAAATTCCGGATGACCATTTTTACTACCCCAACTAATACATCCACAGGGAACCTTTTATTGATCTCCCACCGTGTAACTCATTTTGTAGAATGTTAACTCATAAGTTGGCGGATTATTACCACATGACACATCAAGTTGATGCTGTAGTTGGAGCAGTCCGCATCTTCCGAACACCATTTTGCAGGATTCCGCCGTCACTAACAAGCATTTCCAACCCTCCTACCACTGGAAACACCCCACCTCCCAATCTACCTGCAATGAAGATCATGCGCAGAGGTGGTGATGGTGATACTGGACCGAGCCCCTCGAAAGCTACTTCCGAGACAGGAAGCGATAGCAAAGAAAAGGCACAGTCCGCTAAAGAGAAGTATGATAGCTGATATCCCTTCGATTGACCTGAGACTAACTCTGATTAAAGACTTTCGCGAGAGGAGCGAGAAGCAGTTTATCTTGCGGCCCGGGAACGAATTTTCGGCAAAGATGATAAATCTGGCGAAGCTACACCAGGTAAGTTTCCAAAGAAATATCCTTGAGGTCCTTTTGGAATGCTAATCGTAAGACAGAAACCGACGAGGGTAACGAGATGTCGCGTTCCAGCTCTGTCTCCACAAAGGATAAAGGCAAGAGGGGCAAGGTTGGAAAGCAGCGTCGTGACGACTCTGAAAGCTTCGACGTTCGATCTCAATACACTCCATACTTTCCACAACAACAAAATCAGCCAGCCTGGATTCCCACCCAGACTTTTGGCGCTATGGGAGTTCAGCAATACAATGGTGTCATGCCAAACAATTATCAAACCCAGATGCAACCTCAATATGCTCCACCCCCGCAACCATTTAATCCTGCTATGATGAGCAATGGAAATATGCAATCATACAACAATATGACACCACCGGTAAGTCAAATCAATTTTTTATGATAATACCATGTTTTTACTGACATTTCATAAGCCATTTCCTCAGCAAAGTCAGCCACGTTACCAACCACATAGTGCTCCAATCACGACTTACGGTACACCTGCACAGTCTCCTCAGCCTCCGCAACAATGGATCCCGCAAAATCAATACCCAGGAGGCCAGTATCCATCGCGAGGACCTGTTTCTGGAGGACCACCTACCACTATCCCGTACGCTTTTGGACAACTGCCCAGCACGGTAAACCCAGCCGATCCTAAGAGTCAACACCCAATTCCAGGAAGTTTTATTAATAGACACGCATTCAATCCAAAGACGCAGTCGTTTGTCCCTGGCAATCAAGGTCTTCCTATTCCACAACCCATGTCTCATCATGGATCTCCTCACCACGGTTCCCCACACCATGGATCTCCTCATCTCTCTTACAGCAACTTTTCTCCACCTCAGCAACAATACGGTGCTGGAATGGGCTATAGCATGGCGAGACAAGGGTCTAATAACTCCTTACCCTCGTATCATGCATCTCCACACATGGCCCATAGGCCAATGATGCATCAGAATATGCCGCAAGGTCTTCCGCAAGGCATTCCTCAAGGTCACCTTCAAGGCTTACCGCAAGTTTTGCCACATGGTATGCCACCAGGAATGCCACAGGGCATGGTCCCAAATGGCCAAGTTGGAAGCCACCTTCCCAACTTCGGTAACCCAGCAACTTTACCTCCAAAGCCTCCAACTGGTGTCTAGGTGTCTTTTGAGGATTGCGGATATGTTCTGTGATGAAGAAACGGTGGCGTATGGTAGCATTGGTGGAGTTAGTGGGAAATATGGGCATTAAAACGAAAGTCATTTCAAGTACCTGGTTTATATTGGCTGATAGACCTATGATTACAAATACAATACATTTGATTACACTATTTATTTTGCACTGATTTTACAGCACTAAACAAGTGCGTGATATAAATGCTTTTGTCTGGAACTCTATGTTAGTACTGAGGTATGTACTAAGTACGGTAAACACTAGTGAAAGTGTCTGGGGGCATTGTCTACAGGCAGAAAAGAATATGATTGAGATCGAAGTTGTGTGAAGTGCTTCCAACGGTTAAGTATGCTAGCAAATGGTACTTGAGGTGATTGTGATTGCCCAGTGTAGTTCGTAGTTCGATCATATAGCACCAACTGTGTCTCTAACAAGAGGTGCTAAACGAAGGGGGAAGACGGGGCGAGTGGAGCACGCTCTTCTGCTTCTGAGGGAGCTCCTCCCCGTCCCGAATCCTATCGTTGTATTCTTGTTTATATCAAAGTTTCGGGCTCACACTGTGTTTGATCACGTTTTGATAGGTTGTAGTTGTGATCCTGGCAGCTCTTGGACACTGGGATAGAGTTTGCTGAGAGTGGAAAGTCTCGTGTAGTATGTGATATGTGATTTCTTGAAATTTCTTACTTTGCCGTCTAGTATCATGACGACTAGCAGCTAAATTGCATCTTGCCTAGAACTTCGGCGTTCTGTAACCTCAATCACAAGAGAATGATGATGTCTTTGCAGATGATGGATTATAGACTACATTTCCCACATACGAAGAGCGTTGATCATATTAACACACACAATGACATAAACCATAATTTTGAAATTCTATAAGAATTGGCCTAGAGCCTACCTGAACGCCATACTTTTCCATCCACATGCACAAAGTCTGTAAATTATGGAAAGGCTTTATTTTTATCATCGTCTACTACTCAGCGGGTTCCCGGGGCTCTCTTGGCTCTCGTGTTTGTCCACCTCCTCTGCCACCTCCTCTTCCTCCACGCTTACCGCCTCTCTGTCCACGTTGCTCGGATTTCTCTCCTCCTTCTCCACTGCCGGCTGCGGCAAGAACATCTGAGCCTCCCATGGTAAGAGTTGCGGTTGCCAATCTTTGAGAAAGTTCGATTTGGGTGCGGATGGTATTAGCGAGGTAAGATACAACCAGAACATCTTGGATGTGGTTGTTGAAGTCACGTTCAATATCTGCAGCATCGACCTTTGGTGCCAGGGACAATGCGTTCATAAGGAACTGACCAAGAGCATTTGATGGCTCTCTCTCCTCGTCCAAGACTGAACTGACATATTCAGATACTCTTTCCAAAAGATCAAGAGTCTGGTCAACGGCTCGCTCCAAACCTTCGATATCAGAAACTACTGGTGCGGCACGGCTCTCGCTATCTTTGGCGCCAGAGATCAATTCCAAACCACTCTTCTCAGATTCACCATATCGGATCTCATATGGTACTGGGATGAAAAGACAGCTTTCAGCTGCTCTCTCAGCATTTAC